GATGTTTTTTTTTGTTTGTTTGTTTAGTTTCATTAAAAAGAACAACTTACAAAATGAAAAGCAGAACTAAACTGTAGACAGCTATGAAAATAGTTCATCATTTACAAATTAGTGACAAGTTCAGTGTAATCCAATGGAACACAATATTGAGAGTTACTGCTGTCCAAGAAGGTATCTCACAAATGAAGCACGCAGGATGCCCAGTCACCTCAGTTCCACGCTTACTGTCACCTCTCCCCTCCCTGCCTGTCCCCACTTGGCCAGGCACACTACCCCCAGGAGTAGCTGTTCATTTCTTTCTCTTATTCAGTGATTCCCCAGTAACTCTCTACTCCTCACAGACTCGAGCGCACTTGTCTTAGCCTGCTCTGATGGCCCTTCACCATCTGTAGTGGAACTACTTTGCAAGCTGCATTTCCTGAAGGCTCCTACAGTCATAGAGCATATCCCAATCCTCCAACAGGGCACAACTTCTCCTATATCTCTGCCGGAACACACCTGTCCCTCTTTCTGGCAATAACACTTTCCCAGGGCACCATCCTTTGACTGATGAGGTCCTCTCTATGCTTATGCCCAATATCACCTGATCTTTGAAGCCCTCTCTGACCGCCTTCGCTGAGTTACTCACTCCCTCCTCAGCTTTTCCTCGTGTACTACCCTAATCATTTCACTAAAATACCACTAAGATTTTGAGGACTAAGGTTCTCCTGACCAAGCCATTGTGTTTTCCATCGCCTCATATACATGCGAGTGCTGGACAATGAATAAGGAAGATCAAAGAAGAATTGATGCCTTTAAATTATGGTGCTAGTGAAGAATATAGAATATACCATGGACTGCAAGAAGAACAAACAAATCTATGCTGGAAGAAGTGCAGCCAGAATGCTCCTTAGAAGCGAGGACAGTGAGACCTTGTTTCATGTACTTCGGACATGTTATCAGGGGGGACCAGCCCCTGGAGAAAGTCATCATGGGGTAAAGTAGAGGGTGAGTGAAAAAGAGGAAGACCCTCAATGAGATAGATCAACACAGTGGCTGCAACAATGGGCTCAAACATAACAACAATTGTGAGGACGGCGCAGGACTGGGCAGTGTTTTGTTCTGTTGTGCATGGGGTCGCTATGAGTCAGACCCGACTCAATGGCATCTAATAACAACAACAACAACCAGTAAGATATTTTACTGGGGCTACTTTACTGATGGGTCCCTGGGTGATGCAAGTAATTTGTGATGGGCTACTAACCTAAAGGATGGCAGTCCAAACCCACACAGTGGCACCATGAAAGAAAGGCCTGGTGCTCTGCTTATGTAAAGATTATGGCCAAGAAAACCCTACTTTGTAACACATGGGGTCACCAAGAGTTGGAATTGACTCAACAATAACGGGTTTGGTTTGTTTGGTTTTTCTTTTTCTTTTTTACTGGCTAATTGTATGGTTGTCATGTTCTTCTATGAGTTTCTGACAGGCAGGGGCCACCATGTCTATCTCTGACTCCCTATATACAGCAGGCACTCAGCAAACCATCATGGGATAAAATGGTTGAAAGGCAGAAGCAGCATAAGAGATGATTTCTTTAAGATAAGTAACGATCTAGGCTTTGTTGGATAAATCAAGAATGTAAACAATCCAGACTCTTCCATGATGATATAAACATTTATGATTACTGTGTTGTGTTGTCAACACTGGTTCTCTGAATACATGGCGGATGGTAGTGAATGTTTTGAAACCTTCCATCTGCTGAGTCTTTATTTGATAAACGCATTCTAGCCCCTTCTCAGGGCTGTCTCTTCCTCTCCTAGTTCAATTTGTTCATCAGTGTGGACTGATTCATAAACATATTCAAGCATATTCAAATAAGAGAAGGGCAGATGTTGGATGAATTAAGGGAGAAATTAAATATTTACTGTACGTACACTGTAAGTACATCCAGAATGCTCCTTAGAAGGAAGGATGGCGAGACTATGTCTTACATACTTTGGACATATTGTAAGGAGGGATCAGTCCCTGGAGGAGGACATCATGCTTGGTAAAGTACAAGGTCAGCGAAAAAGAAAAAGAGGAAGATCTTCAGCAAGATGGATTGACACAGTGGCTGCAACAACGGGCTCAAGCATAACAATGATCGTGAGTATGGCGCAGGACTGGGCAGTGTTTCGTTCTGTGGTACACAGGGTCGTTATGAGTCAGGACCAACTCGATGGCACCTAACAACAACAAGATGGGAATTGATTTTGCATCGTCACTCACATGATACACTCAGGAAAGTGGGAAAATACTAAACCTGGCTGTATCCTGGTTAAAGAAACCTGGTCGGGACAATGTGGAACTCTTTCCAAACCACATGCCCTCCTTTTTTTGCCTCCTATGATGTGGCCACTCCTGGCCTGGAGCAGAAGCCAGGGAGGAGCCACTCTGTTGGTGAACAGGGATGGATGGTTATTCATCCTGGTCTGCACTAACTTTGCTCTAGGTCATGTCCCAAACCCTACAGTCTGGTGAAGGCTTACAAAGGGGACCCAGGTAACTACACTGGTCCAGCTTCTTCATCTGACTTTTCAATGAATCATGTTGAATATACTCTCATAATGCCAGTGGCCTACCTCCTTAAGTCAAACTTCATGAATATGCAATTACGCTACTGTATTATTCGCAGAGGACTCTAACTGCCAGAACTAACTAGGTCTTTACTGGCTATTCTTCTATAATTGATTTGGTGGCTCTCCCTCCCATGATCCTTCCTTGGAAACGAATGATGCCTTAGCATAATGCCTTGCAAGCAGGGGAAACTAGAAACAGAAACAATACTCAGGGTAGTTGCAAATAACTGAAATAGAAAACCAGTTATGAAATGTCAGAAGTGCCTAGCTTTACCTGTGAGCAGCCATCTAAGATACTCCACTGGTTTCCCCTTCCGGAACAAGGGAGAATGAAGAGAACAGGATACAAGGAAAACATTAGTCCAAAGGAGTAATGGACCACAACTATCACGGCCTCCACCAGACTGAGTCCAGTACAGCTAGATGGTGCCCGGCTACCACCACTGACTGCTCTGACAAGGATCACAACAGAGGGTCCCGGACAGAGCTGGAGAAGGATGTAGAACAAAATTCTAACTCACAAAAAAAGACCAGACTTACTGGCCTGACAGAGACTGGAGAACCCTGAGAGTATGGCCCCTGGACACCCTTTTAGCTCAGTAATGAAGTCACTCCCAAGGTTCACCATTCAGCCAAAGATTAGACAGCCCCATAAACAAAATAAAACTAATGGGGCACAACAGTCCAGGGACAAGGACTACAAGGCAGGAGGGGACAGGAAAGCTGGTAATAGGGTACCCAAGGTTAAGAAGAGACAGGGTTGACATGTCATGGCGTTGTTAACCATTGTCATAAAACAATATGTGTACTAGCTGTTTAATGGGAAACTATCTGTTCTGTAAACCTTCATCTAAAATACAATAAAAAAAGAAGAAAAAAAAAAAAGAAGTGCCTAGCTTTAGCTTAACCCATTGCTGTCGAGTCGATTCCGACTCATAGCAACCCTACAGGACAGAGTAGAACTGTCCAGTAAGGTTTTCAAGGAGTGGCTGGTAGATTTGAACTGCCGACCTTCTCGTTAGCAGCCAAATGCTTAACCACTGCGCCACCATAACTTTAGCTTAGGAAGAGTTATATTTCATCTGGTGGGGGAGGAGTTTTCTGAGGGTCAATAGAATTTAAGAGGTTATAAAATGGATACCTCACGGGGGCTTGAGAGAGCTGTAAATTTGGCTTATGCTATAGCCTACTCTGGAGAAAACCTGTCAAAGTTCATTATTTCCTGATGTGGAGGTGAAGCCGTCTCGCCAGAAGTACCCTTTAATGCCCGGCCATGCCTACAGATGTTAACCGTGGCAGACTCTTCCTTCATCTTGCTCGCCATAGACACACTGACAGAAGCACACACACCCTGCTCAAGAACGGTGCCCAGGACACCGCTGTACATATTCATGAGATCATGATTATGACCGTCACTGACGGGGTTTTGCTCCGTCTCCATGGAAACTGGATTTACGCCCAGAAACTGACCATCTACAGGATAAACAACAGCTTTGAGCCACGAGCTAAAGCAACCAGGTACGCTTTACTTTTAAAATACAGATTCTTTGACCAGGTGTTTTAAAATCACCCTGTTCTGCCCCATCCCACCATTAAGTTTACCCAGCAGAGATTTTCAACTTTGGTACAAAACATAACATCCTTGGGTGCGCGGTGTCTAGAGTTTAAGAAGCGCTGAATCTTGATCATTACTTTTTTTTTTTTGCTAAGAGTAAAAATTTAAATAAAACACTAAGATGACTCTAAGAAATCTCAAGACTTTTGGGGAATGATTTTTGTGTGTGTGTGTGTAGAAATGCATCAGGAGAGAATGCAACACGTATGCTACTTTCATTATTTAAAAAACATTGAGCACAGCTGGCCTTATTAAAGAACTCTTCTAAGAAGTACAGGCTTTTGCAGTCACAGAGAGAATTAAGGGAAAAAAAAGTGAATAAAAATAGCTACGGTGACAGTTAACTAGAACCTTATGTATCAGCCACAGACTCTCCCCACCCCATCGGCCTGCCTGGTTATCGTACACGAATGATATAATACATGAAGTTACTGTGAACTGTTGTTCTCAGACAAACAAAGCGATTTATTTTCGGCTGGAATGAAAATGTTTATTTTTTATCCCACACCTAAGAAAACTTTTAACTAAATCAAGTACTGGCATACGTACAGGGTGGTGGGAGATGCCTATATCTCTTCAGAACCTGATTAGAAATTCTCTTTTGCTAACTTCTTATACTCCCTTGCCATACCAACATTCATCTTTCCAGAAGAGTCTGATCCTTAGTAAACCAGTGATGGAAGTTACGAAAGCAGAGGGAGTGCAAGGTGATAGAATATCACAGGAAGCCCACAGAAGGAGGCGCACGTAGCCACGGACTGGCTTCGTCAGGACTCCAAGGACTGACCTTAGGCACCCAGTAGCATTGCGCAGCACCTGTGATGAATGCAGCTGGATCTTCCGATCATCCTGAAGAGGCGAGTTTTCCCAGCCGGAGTGGGGAATGATCACTGCGTTGGTCAACACTGCCAGGGCGTCCTGGATGATGGGCATTTTGAGGGCATCGCATGACGAGAGGTTCCAAAGGACTCCTGCAAGAGACACAAAAAGAGCTTGTTGGTGGCCAGTATTTTTTCTCATCTTGAAGCAGTTCTCCTGTTCTAGTTAATGAAAGCTGGCAGGGAGGTCTAAGATAGTGTGGACAGGCATCCTAGGATGGGCCCTTAATTTCAGAGCATCTGTGTGCACCCACTGGGAGTCGGACAAGAGGGCAGAGAACTTGCGATATGATTATCTTTGTTTCATCACGGAGAGTAACCAAGGCTGAGAGATCTGACTGAACTGAGGGTACCAACCAGGCTTCCGTTTGCCATGAATGCAGTGGGCGCAGGTTCCCAAATTCTAGACAAGAGCCAAGAGATCTGAAAGTCATCTGAAGCGGGCCAGAAAGGTCTGTGATCTACTTCCAAAAAATCAGCCACTGAAAACCCTATGGAGCAGAGTTCTGCTCTGACACAAATAAGGTTGCCATGAGTTGAAATCGACTCAACAGCCACTGACCTTTGAGGAAAAAAAAAAAGTAGAGCATTTCTGTCTTATCCAAGAACTCAACGTGTACATGGGGCCTCTGTTTCTCTCAGCTTCCTTATTAAACCAGCCACCATCACGTAGGATCTTAGAAGAATCCAGCATCAGCTCTGATGTCAACTGGCCCAATAAGAAATGAAAATTTGCTGTCACTTGCAACAGCTTTGTCAGCTTTTCTCTGAAAGCAATGCTCAAAGAAAACCTACAGAATGGTCTGCCTTAAATAACTGCAAAGGGACTAGCAGAAAGTGGAGGGCATCTTTGCAACAGACAGAGTATAACAATGATTGATGTTGGCAGAGCAAAAGCAAATTTTAGGAGAGATGGAATGTTTGAGGCCTCATTTTTTTTTTTTTAAAGAGAACTTATAATTGGATGAAGTTTTTTTTAAAATTTTTTCCCATACAAACATTTATACATACATTGTTATGTGACTCTAATTGCTCTCCCCATACTGTGACAGCACACTCCTTCTTTCCACCTCTCACTCCCCATGTCCCTTCAACCAGCTCCTGACCCTCTCTGCCTTCCCATCTCACCTCCGGACAGAAGCTGCCCGTTTAGTCTCTTGTATCCACTTGAGCTACGAGGCACATTCCTCACGAGTATCACTTTATGTCCCACAGTCCAGTCCAATCCCTGTCTGAAGAGTTGGCCTTGGAAATTGTTTTAGGGGACTAAGTTTTGAAAAGGTCAAAAGTATTGCATATATGTTGTAAGAGCATTTGAAAATGCCTTTTAAAATAATTATTCAATACATTGTTCAAAACAGTACACAAAACGGTAAAAGAGAATACTATTCTATTTTCCCATGAAAGAAAGACTATATATGCTCCCTGAAGACTAAGCCGAAAACATACCATCACCGCAGTTACTGTGAATAAAATAGTGTGGTTGTCTTTAGAAACACACCTTCGAACTTATTTAACAAGCTTTCAATACATTCTACTCAGATGAGACTGTGTTTCATCCACAGCAGCGCTATAGTAAAATAAACAGAGGCACCTACTTCTGAAATTTTTAAAATTAGTTTCTTCTATTGTACATGGCGCACCATCCAAAGGCCTTAAACATATGAACTGGAAAGTTGATAGTGTTTGACTGTTAATCACTAAATAAAACGACTAACAGCTGTAAACTGGTTCTATCAAAATGTGACTCTGGAGACAAACCGACCGTTCCAACCAACTCTAAAATAATACTTACTGGGGATTTTGTTTCAGTAAATGCAAAGGAAACAAAATGTCTTTTGGGCCTAGCATGTATAAATCAATCCTTCAGTAGAGGTTGGTTGCAAACTACAGCCCGAGAGCAAATCCAGTTTTTATAAATAAAGCTTTATTGGATCTAGCCACATCCATGTACTTATATATTGTCTATGACCGTTTTTGTACTAAAAGGGCAGAGTTGAGTATTTCTGACACAGACTGTATGCCTTGCACAGCCTAAAGAATTTAGTATCTGGCCCTTTATAGAACAACTTTGCCCTCTCTTGCTTTAGCGTGGAGTCCCCGGCTGGTGTAAATGGTTAAAAAGCTCGGCTGCTAACCACAATGTTAGAGGTTGGAGTCTACCCAGAGGAGGCTTGGAAGAAAGTCCTGGTGATCTACTTCAGAAAAATCAACCACTGAAAACCTTATGAAGCACGGGTCTACTCTGACACATATGGGGTTGCCATGAGTTGGAAATACCTCGACAGCAACCGTTTCGTTGTTTGTTTGCTTGCTTTAGCACGCAGACTTTTTCCTGTACACTTCGTGTGCATTTTTGTATTGCTTTTAGCATCCTAAACTAAGTACACAAAAAATACTCAAGGCTAAACAGAAGGTGCTCAAAACTACATTCTGATTTGGACAGAGGTGAAATACTAGAAATATTATCATAGTCATTTATCTTATTTTAAATTTAAAAAAATGAAGCAGTTTCTTTATAAATCCCATTAAGAATATTTTTACTAAATTTTGGATAATTTAAATAATCACAACGATGACCTCCATTCTTTGGTAGTCTCACAAAAGTGTTGTTTTTCCATTTTAAAAAGCACATTAACGCTCTGAAGTAAGACGGTAATGACAGCAGAAACTATGTGGGGTGGGAGGGTGCAAGGGAGCGCTCTACTTCCTGGGCAACGTTTCCGTAAACTGAAAACTGTCCTAAAAAGTAGTCTGTCCAAAAGAAAAAGAAACAAACATATTAAAATAAAATGAAAGTCTACCTCAGCGATTTAGGATAACTTTTAAGAATATCATTTCAAAGTATGTGTGTCTGAACCGCTGAGTATATAATATGAATGTACAGAAACCAACCATGAATTCTTTCCCAAATTATGTTCTGAAAACACCAACACTTGAAACTCGAGGCTTGTAGACGTAGAAAATATGTGTGATATGTTTACCGTAAAATACATTTCCCCTAAAAGCTAAATTAGTAAAATAGAAATGGGTGGTGCAGTGGTTAAGCGCCCGGCTGCTAACCAGAAGGTTGGCAGTTTGAACTTACCAACTGCTCCTCGGGAGAAAGATGTGGCAGTCTGATTCTGTAAAGATGACAGCCTTGGAAATCCCATGGGACAGTTCTACCCTGTCCTATAGGGTCACTATCAGTCGGAATTGACTTGACGGCAGTGGGTTTGGTTTTTTTAATTTGGAATTGTGCATGGACAGATGTTTCTTAGTTCATATTTATTGCACCTTTCCAGGCTGGCCCATCTGTGATTCACATTCCAGTTAATTTATCATGGCACTTGACCCACATCTATGTACCTTCCATCTTAATTTACATCTGCAACTTACAAGCACTTCTAGAATTTTTTGGAACTACAGTGGATCTCTGATCAGGGACAATTTTACCATCTATTTGGATGAACACTCAGCAAAAGATGTAACTTGGCAGGATTCCTTTGGGGGAATTCAGCAAACCAGTTGCAGGATTTCTTCCTTCCCTCCCTCCCTTCCTTCCTTCCTCCCTCCGTTCCTCCCTCCCTCCCTCCCTTCCTCCCTTCCTTCCACCCTCCATCGCTCCCTCCCTTTCTTCTTTCTTTCCTACCCTCTTTTCCTTTGTCCACTGGGCCCATTTTTCCTTTCCCTTTCAACAACAATTTTTTCTAGTTACTTCTCTCCTTCCTGCCTAGATCCACTTGTTCTCTTATTCCCTATGACTCCTCTATCCTCTTAGTAAATTCCACCATGAAAATTAAAAGATACAGAATGGAGGATCCAGCTAAACTTTGTAACTAAACTAAAATACATGTAAATAGAGATTATAAATGATATTTAATTTTTAAAAATGTGTTATGCTTCATGTTCCTAATTTATTAAATGGCCAAACATGTTAAACTTGGTATAGCTCTGTATTAGTCTCCAATTGCGGCTGTCGATAAGTTACCACACACCTAATGGCATAAAGCAACAAACACAAGGCATTCTCCTACAGTTCCGGAGGTCAGAAGCCTAAAACTGGTCAATGCTGTGTTCGCCCAGGTCCTGCGCCATCCCCGTGAACAGCTGTGGATTGGACCACTGGGATCCACAGGGTTTTCCTGGCTGGTTTTTGGTAGTAAATCTCTAGGCCTTTCTACCTAGTCTGCCTTAGTCTGAAAGCTCCACTGAAACCTGTTCAGCATCACAGCAACACACAAGACTTCACGGACAGACGGGTGTTGACTGTGTATGAGGTGCATCTGCTGGGAATCGAACCCGGGTCTCCTGTATGTTGTTGCTGTTAGGTGCCATTGAGTCGGTTCCGACTCATAGCCATCGTATGCACAATAAAACAAAACACTGCCTGGTCCTGCGCCATCCTCACAATAGTTGTTGTGCTTAAGCCCACTGTTGCAGCCACTGTGTCAATCCATCTCCTTGAGGGTCCTCCTCTTTTTTGCTGACTCTCTACTTTACCAAGCATGATGTCCTTCTCCAGGGACGTATCCCTCCTGACATGTCCAAAGTACGTGAGACGTAGTCTCACACCCTTGCCTCCAAGGAGCATTCTGTTTTTACTTCTTCCAAGACAGATTTGTTTGTTCTTTGGGCAGTCCATGGAATATTCAATATTCTTCTCCACCACCACAATTCAAAGGCATCAATTCTTCTTCGGTCTTCTTTATTTGTCGTCCAGCTTTCACATACGTATGAGGCAATTAAAACACCATGGCTTGGGTCAGGCGCATTTTAAGTCTTTAAGGTGACATCTTTGCTTTTCAACACTTTAAAGAGGTCTTTTGCAGCAGATTTGCCCAATGCAATGCGTCTTTTGACTTCTTGACTGCTGCTTCCATGGGTGTTGATTGTGGATCCAAGTAAAATGAAATTTTTGACAACTTCAATCTTTTCCCTGTTTATCATGATGTTGCTTACTGGTCCATTTGTGAGGATTTTTGTTTTCCTGATGTTGAGGTGTAATCCATACTGAAGGCCGTGGTCTTTGATCTTCATTAGTCAGTGCTTCAAGTTCTCTTCACTTTCAGCAAGTAAGGTTGTGTCATCTGTGTAACACAGGTTGTTAA